CAAGGTTAATTTTGTAGCTGGGTCTTTAACTAGCTACACGCACGGACCGCAGCCCCTTCTCCGCTGGTCTGCACAGCCGTTGCGACGCATCGCCTCCCTTATGCCACCCAGCTCAGAGTCTGTCTGGGCAGTGCTTGATAATTTTGATTGCTGCAAGCCATAAATGATCATAAAAATTATAGCAGCCGATACAAAGAGGGCAGCGAAAAATAAAAAAACTAAAACAAAAACAAAAACTACAACATGCCTCGATAAGGAAGGGCGTATAAAATCACAATCATAAAACAGATTGTGCAAATAAATGCTTTGAGGCGAAAAGTAAAAGTCACTTTATCATCTTTATAATACCAACGTGTCGCGAACATATGTACATACATACATATGTTTGCTGCTGTTTATGTACATCAATGACTACCCAGTGCCAGATAAATGCTATGTCAAAATGTGTGCGTATCAAGTCTGCTCGTAAAGAGGGACAACTTGGGAAGCTGACTAGTGATTTAGGTGTTTATACACTCATAATTCGTTATTGCATAAGTAGTCTTAAAAATCAGAAGTCATGCAGGTATGGTAGATTGCTTTACTGGATTTAAACAGCAACTGATTTGTGAATAAAAACTTACCCCGGTTTGTGATCTCATTGCCAGCATTGCGATTGTTCTCGTCCTGTCCGCCATGGCAGCTCGATGAAGACGATGTTTTTGTCTTCCTTGAGTTTGAAACTTGCCGCTGCTGAGTCTCGTCTTCGTCCTCCTCATCCTCGCCTGTCTCGACCCCATCGTCCTCGTCGTCATTTGCCATAGCAGTGACTGAGAGACTAACTGTGTTCGGCGAGCTGGAGTCGTCGAGGCTACATAGCAGATTGCCGGCCGACTGCGAAGACGTTAGCGTGTCCTTGTGGTAGGAGCTATGGCGGTTGCCCAACTTGACTGCCATGTCCACATTCGAGGACTGCCTTAGGCAGCTGATCTGACCGCCTGGCAGTGTGGTGCTGCGCTTGTGGCGGCCCTTGCATTTGGGAAAGCCAGTTAATATATTGAGCCACCACTGCGACTCATCTGGACTAATGCCCTTGACGAAGGTCACGCGGTCCTGTGCAGTTATGGCAATCGAGTTTGTATGGCCTGTAACCTCCTCGGCACTGCTCACTTCGAGTACTTTGGTCATATCAATGCAAGCCTGTGGCACTGTCTCGGGCTGCAAACAAACGAAATCTTAGAGAATTCTGACAATTACTGTGTAAAATGTTTCCCTCTCTCCTAAAACATAAAACCGATATGTTCTGCCTGCTGTGAAAAGACAGATTTTTAGATAAGCGTGGCTAATCGGACTTGGCTGATGATATGGATCATTCGGAATAAAAGGCGTTCATCCGAGGAATAGCCGGACGGATATTCCGCTAAATTAAACATATTCTGTTCACATTGCGAACAGCTTATAAGCTTTATTATAATTTCATTTGGAATACTGTCACCGACGGCACAGGTAAAATCTAGAGCAATGTCGTAATTAGTTTCTTCAACGTGATAAGCATTCTGAGACTACAAATATTTGTATCTCTGACAGCACATAAGTTTTAATTCTAACAACGGCAAGGTACTTACATAATCATCCACTGAATAAGTCAGCTCACCATCGTCGTAGAGAACAAACCATCGTCTTTGCCAACGCTATTAGGGGTACAAAAAAATAAAATATTCAGTTTTAGCTTCGATAAATAAAATTAATGTAATAAATATACGTATATTATGTTATGTGCTGTGATCGTTAAGTGAACAGCTCGGTATGAGGTCATTTCTGTCAATATCATCTTGCAATTGATTTGATTTGCGCTCAACACTTCCCCACGACTCATTGATATGTTCTCAAGTTAATCCAATAGTTAACAAAACAGAATTATTTTATTTGCTTCCGTGCTCATGGGCAGAAATGTATTTGCGTGTCAAGCGTTTACGATAGCCCCTGCTTTGTCAGACTATTAACATTTGAGTCTACCTACGGCTGGTGCTGATGGTAAATTATTGCCATTGGCCGTGGCCGTAACGCCCCCTTAGAAGGAACCGCAATTCCTTAACATGTCGCTTTGGTTGCCGCCGTCATCCCTGAAAAAATGACTATCCAATGCCTTCGCATTTATACTGGTTCTTATTGCTATTGTTGCTCGCAGATGAATACAGAAATCATAACAAATGCATGGCATCAACAACATGGTAGAGGATACATCTACCCGCAGACACATGCTCTGCACGGGCCCCCTTTTGAGATTTATGGTGGAGCTCGTATTTATGCAAATTACTAAAAGTCAAAGCAAATTAAGCCGAGGCTTCAGGTAGATGCCGAAGCCCAACAGCTTGTAATATTTTTATTATATTCCCTGCAAAGACAACTATTGTCGTAAATCGTGCATGAGGTGTGGCAGGTTGTATATATATTAAGTCCCCTTCTTATATATAAGTCTAAAAGCACCTCTTTGAAAGGAAAGTGTATTTACGGTAACTGCATTCAGTAAGGGTATCTACCACCCAGAGTAAACATTTGATGTTGAGTCGTGTTTTGGGTCGATTGGCAGATAACACTTACGGTAGGTTTTAAATGTAAACAAGGATTGTTTTACTTTATTTAACTGTAATGTAATTAACTGCTTGTCCTGATAGACTGAAGCTTGATTCGTATAAGCCGTAACAGCCTAAAAACTGTAACCTTACTGACTGCGTTTAAAAATCATTAAAGACAGTTCCCCACAATTCAAATGCTTGTATGGGCGAAAATTGGCAAAAAATATTGGTATTCGGGTCGAGTGTTTTTTCGCGATGATTTATCACATATCGTATCGATGTTATCTAAAATTGAAAAGTATCATAACCACAGTTTTTAAAATTTAAAGATTTCCAAATCTGGCAGAGACCATTTAATGAATATCCTACTATTATTTGACTTTTGGGAGGAAAAACCACCCGATCAGCATTTTTTATTTAAAAGTGGTATTTTTGCCATTCATAGATATAACAAATATTTTAAATTGCAAGTCTTTAGGTCTTATAGCTTTAAGGTATTGGCTCTTCATATTCCGCTCAAGAAAACAAATTCTATATGATTTCAGATATGCTCTCGTCTACCTGTTAAATATACCAGTACAACGCGTATACCCATTTGAATGAGGTTCAAGTAGGTAGACAGGTAGACACAATATATCAGGTAGACACAATATATTAGTTGGCGGCTGGCGGTTTGTCAAAGCCTACATGATTATGTGTACGTTATCGTAGAATGGAAATGTTTTAAATTTAAATTTTAATCTTCAACTTCATCCACTTGGGAGAAAACCCAATAACTTCTACTGATTGTTTGAGTCGTCCAGTCAGCTTCCTAGCTGTTACGGTTTGGGCTGTGTACTTTTTTAATTAGGAAATCGCAACCTTTTTAATTAAGATTAACAATTACGACAGCTCGAACGTCTGCCGATAGACGTTCTTATCAGGCTTTTACAGCAGTCCAGCTTATCAGTAAATTTACGAGTGGTTTGTTATAGATTCATAATCATATTCACAAGGTAGCAACGAATACTGTCCCATTTTAGCATATTCATTTTGAGCAAGTTACATCAAGCATAATTAAATAAGCTTATAATTTTTATCAAAAAAAAGAACATGACATAATATATCTTTTTAAGAGAGAATCAGAAATAGATTGTTTGCCTGAAAACCGATTAGAACATCCCGAACGAGTCGAGTTCCAATGTTTTCACTGTTTAGTACAGCTCAGATAAATTATTTTAACAACCGTGAATAGAATAAGAAATTTAAATAGAATGATTTGAATTCCACGTGGAAAATTATATTTTAGATAGATGTTTGATAATTAATTTGAGCTCCATCAAATGAAGATGCCACAGTAAAGAATCAATTTTTTTCGCCCGTCAGTTTATTCCCGAGCATTTTAAGCCCGGCAAGCTGTTTGACTTCTGACTTAATAGGCTCTGATTCTTATCAGGCCTTATCATTTTTAAGAATAGAATAGCTACGTTCAATATTCTAGAAATACTTAAACCAAAAGTCATCAGTAGAAGTGCACTTTTTAATCGATGACTATGCTAACTTTTGCTTATAAAATGACTATATAACAAATTACTATCAAGCATTACCCGAAATTTTGAGGTCTATCAGTTTATTTATTCCACTCCCTTATTGAACCTTTTTTGACATTTATAAACTTCGTATTTATGTATTTGTATCTAGGGAAGAAACTATGTAGATTGTATGTTAAGGTTAACGCTGTGTTCAGGACATTCTCAAGTGCGCCCCTCCCAAATTGTACTTTGTTAATGTATGCGTTTAGTCTAGATTATAAGGTCAAAAGGCTATTAATGCAATCTCGGCAAGCGAGGTAAAAGCTTGTTATTATTAATAGTTATTGGTTTCATTTTCTTTACATTGTATAGCTATACTCTATGTGCCTGCAATATGTACTAAGTATATTATCTTAATCAATGCCGTTCGGCTGAGACAGTGGGATATTATAATATCCAAGTTTTTTTTTTCGAATGTAAATGCACACAGAATGGTGAGATACGGTTGCTTGAAAGGGCTATAATGAATACCTGCCAGTTAAGGTTGATAATTGTAAACGTTCTTAGCATGTGGTGGGCTTGGTTTTTCTTGCTTAATGGAACTCGTGTTAAGCAATTGTTGACCCAAGTATGATAATTCTATTCGGTACGCCCTACTCGGCAGATGCAAATCAGCCGATGCTCAATTTGCGACCATAAAAAGCAAACATTTAGTCCACGTATATTGCTTTGACATTCACTGAAGGTCGAATCTCCAAGCGTGCCGCGTTCCATGCCTCTCTCCTATCGCAATACTCGATGTTTCCATACAAGTACACATGTGAGCACACGCCCATTTGTTTTCGTAAATTTACACAAGAGCATTACATTACCTAGACACTGAACGTCTCCGCGACTTAGACAGAGGCTTGGGATTTGACTTACAAGTATTTAAGGGGCCACTCGCATAGAGAACAGTGTCAGTCAGCACAGTGTAATCAGGCAGATCGGATCAGTTGCACGTTCCTCATATTATTATTTCTCGGCCGCAAAGTAAGTTGTAGTGTGTAATAATAGGAAAATAGTAAACAGCCTGGGGCACAAATATATGTACATATTTTCATATTACTGTGCAGGCTATCAACGATTTTGTTCATATATTCTTGATAGCCCTGTTTACTTAGTGCGGACTTTAACAGGTCTTGGTCCTGTGCCGGAGAGGGTATCTTATAGTCGGCCATCTATTAGTTATGGTCTTAAACTAGTTTGTTCTGGTTTTCTAATTTTAAATAAACTAGTCAAATAGCTGCGCATGCATGATATTGTGAAATATTTGAAATCTTAATTAATATTCTACCAACACACAAAGCACACGCATTGCCGAACGAGCATACGAATCTTAAGCAAAACAAAAAATAAATAAACAAATGTTGCGTCTAAATTAAGCACATACGTAAATTCGGCAAGACTTGACTGGAAAAAAACCAAAAGAAAACGCAACAAAACAAAACACGAACAGTTCTGTCAGTTTTAACGTCGACTTCGCTGCCGGCGTTCTTGATAAGATAAGATAAGATTGGCCGGCAAGGGAACACTAAAAAAAAACCACCGGCTGCGCGGTTATAAATAGTAGGCATAGACTTGAACAACTTAGAATCTGTTGTTCGTTCTTCGTCTGAACAGGTGAACTGACTAGAAAGCATCATTAAGAGGATGGCGATCGCTAACAAGAACATTATCTTTGTCGCTGGACTGGGTGGTATTGGACTGGACACCAGTCGGGAGATTGTCAAGAGTGGACCAAAGGTGTGTATCAGACTTTTGTAAGATGGAATAGTATATTAACAACAAAATGTATTTGCCTAGAACCTGGTGATCCTTGACCGTATCGAGAACCCGACCGCTATTGCCGAGCTGAAGGCAATCAACCCAAAGGTGACAGTCACATTTTATCCCTATGATGTAACTGTGCCGGTGGCAGAAACCACAAAGCTACTGAAGACGATCTTTGCCAAGCTGAAGACTGTGGATCTGCTTATCAATGGCGCTGGCATTTTGGACGATCACCAGATTGAGCGTACTATTGCGGTAAACTTTACGGGCACGGTGAATACCACAACTGCCATTATGGAATTCTGGGATAAGCGCAAGGGCGGCCCGGGCGGAGTTATTGCAAACATTTGCTCGGTGACTGGCTTTAATGCCATCTACCAGGTGCCTGTTTACTCCGCCTCAAAGGCAGCTGCTCTAAGCTTTACCAACTCACTGGCCGTAAGTAAGTCAGATAACAAACCGAATGTGAAATACCAAATCTCTTTAATTTGAATAGAGACTGGCGCCTATTACTGGTGTAACGGCCTATTCCATCAATCCGGGCATCACTAGGACACCCCTGGTGCACAAATTCAATTCGTGGCTGGATGTCGAGCCACGCGTGGGCGAGCTACTTCTTGAGCATCCCACTCAAACGACTCTGGAGTGCGCCCAGAACTTTGTTAAGGCCATTGAGGCCAACCAAAATGGAGCCATCTGGCAACTGGATTTGGGTCGCCTGATCTCCGTTGAATGGACCAAGCACTGGGACTCACATATCTAAGCCATTCAAATCCGAGCAAGGAGCATCTGCATTTAAAAAACCCATAGTCTCTAGGCGACCAATATCTGATTCAACGTACAAATTCGTAATTGGTTAGGGTTGAATCTTACGGAACTAAATTCTTATAAAAGGCTGAACATATATCATTCAAATCATTCTGATGTACGAATTCACACGCACATATTGTGTAATATGGAATTCTGAATATAACCAAAAAATAAAAATCTGATTTAATGAATTAATGAAATCTGTACTACATATAAGCTGATTGTATTTCGTTAAGATTTTCAATCTGCTGGAATGTTTGGATTAAAAAATGTGGTTGGTTGCTTTTCAACTAGTTCTATAACAGGTTTATATAAAATACACAATCTGACGAACAACATGTGCAGGGCTGGTAATCAATGATGGCTATCGATAAAAGTAAATCGACCCACGTTGCAAATTCGATTACTCCAGTTTTATAAACACAACTAATGTACGGCACGTTTATAAGTTTATACAAATTGATATAGGACTGCTTTTGAAGTATAACATACTAGATGAAATTTAAGCATTATTTCTTGGCAGATCTTGACAACTCTAATATCAAACAATTTGCATTAGAAATTTAACAAAATATATTGAGTCAAAATTAGCATTCCACCGTCCACAAACAATAAATTGAGACGCATGAAAGTATGCAATATTTCCTCTTCCACTTAAGAATTCTCTCTTGTAGTAATAAAATCTTCCTTTTGCAGGTTACTACCGATATTTTCCGTATTTTGTTTCCAAATCATATTCACCTAATTTATGAGCTTCCTTATTCTCACATATTTGCAAACCGTAAGTCCATTGTCTACAAGGTTAATTAATCTTCGGAGTGCCGAATACATCTCATCGTTCTCAATATATTGCAATAATAAAAGAATTTGATGTATAGTGTGTTAAGTAGGTATATTGTAAATGTTATATGCTTAAAATAATTTAGATTATATTTAATGCTTCGCTTTTTTCTCACTTTCGGTATTTTCTAATTGTATATATTATCGCTGCAAATGGCCTTTATATTAGGATTAGGTTTTTCTAACAGGACATACAAATTGAATTGACAGTGTACCGATTTATAAGATTAAATAGCTTCATAAAAATTCATTGCGTATTTCATGACAAGATGCTATTGCGAAATAAGATCAAGAGAAACAAGTGAATCCTAGTCGGTAGTTTTCAACTAGGATTGCAATAAAATAAAATACATATAATAGATATTTAACATATATGATATTAAAGAAGCTACATGTCTCTGGCCCTGAACATCTACGAGATTTGCTTAAAATAAGAGGCGAGGAAAATTTACTCTGAGCATTTATTATTCAAGCAAGATACAAAATCAATGTATTACTACATAGGTTGAAATTCCCTTTTTTGCTGGTCCAAAAAAAATTGTAAAATTAAAAATGAACAATGAACATTAATTGTCTTTGAATTGTGGGCAACAGCTGAAGTATGTTAGCTGTAGGTGCTGCAAAATAGCCAGAATATTTTGAATACGAGCTTTTCAGATCAACTGGCTCTCTCTGTCTAGATATTACTGAATGACAAGATTCTAATGCTTATTCTAATAGAAAAGTTCTGCAACACCTAAAAGTATACACTTAATAGACTAATTCAAAATTACGATTTAATTTCTGACGGAACGATAGTTGCGGATAACTCGGTCAAATCTTATCCGATTTTCAAGAGGTTCGGCTGGCTGGCTGTTATTGGTCAAAATTTATGTCAAAATGGTACCCCCAAATATCCTATTTAGACATAGGTCAACATTTCCGATTTTGGTTTGGACCCTTGTGCATGGTTCGGCTCTTAAAGTCTGGGTTCTGCGAAATGATTGAGATAAGTTTCAAATGATTTTGATAAGGAGCCTTGGAAATTAATTTGCATGCAAAACATCACCCACGCTTGGAATGGCTTTTTCGTAAGGTGTGAGCCAGCCCTCAAATGAATTTAATGAATAATCTTTGGAAAAGAGTTTAAGGTCGATTGGATGTTGAACACGGTTTTTTCTTAGCCTTAGCGTGCACATCCATCACAAAAGGTAACTACATACAGTAAAAACTTCAGCTTTCTAGCTCTTACCATTTCGGCTGTGCGTTGATCAGCAATCAGTTAGTCAGTCAGGACAATCAGTTTTATATATAGAGATGAAGAGAGCAACGGGGAATGAATACGGGCATCTCCTAATTGGGCAAGTTTTTAAGGCTTGCATAAAAAAAGACAGTGCAAGTCACTGAGGCACAACAGAACCAATCAAAAGTTGCGTGTGTTGAAGGCAGTGTAGCCGTTAAATGGATTGTGAACCGATTAACAGCAGCGATCGGCGTGCTTTAGTAGAAAGTGCCAGGAGGTGGCTATGCTATGTGAAACACATAGAGAACTATCCATGTCTTAGATAATTGTAAGAACAGACACAGGCACAGACACACACACACACACGCACACGTAGACATCAGCAGGCACACAACCATAAAAGGGGACCACAGAATGCGGCCCAAAAATAAAGTTATCGACGCGCTGGATATGTACACGTAACGCCTCGAATCTCGTGAGTAATGTTGCAAGTTGCAAGCTGCAAGCAACTAGCTTGGAAATGGCGTATACCGCAAAATGCATCTACCGTTTGCTGGCTTCTGCTGAAAAACTCATTCAGTCATTAAGTGCCGTTATTTGTTGATTACACAATAAAGCGACCATAATAACAACAGCAGCAACAACAACAGCAACAATAGCAAGAGCGAGAGCAGAAGCAACAGCACCAACAGCTGCTGAGCGCCTAAAGCTAAGAGAGAACAACGACACCAGCACACAATAGCTGAGAACAACAACAACTGCAATAACAATAACGGCTTTCAGTATGTGAAGTAACATTTAGAACATCTTTGTTGTGGGCTTTACACAGCAGCAACAGCAACAGCAGCAGCAGCAACAGCAGCAGCAGAAAAATTAGCAAGAACAACAAGCACAGCAACAATTTCGAGTTGAGAGAAGAAGGCGCTCAACAATGTCATAGTGAGATGGGGCAGGGCGCGGCAGGTGGATACGGATGGATTTGCTACGATGGATTTGCTCTCTGTCATGCAGGTCTTTTTGTGCGTCGCCGATCGCCCAGGCAGGGATGTACACAACTGGGCGACACAACACACACATTTCGATCGAAATTTCCTCAAAAAAAGAATGTAGTGGAACGAATGAATGAGTAAAAAACAAAACCTGGTAGCATAATAAATTACAAAATATATTTCAATATCAGGTTTCATTAAGCATGATTCCTTTTCTAGTTTATATGTATGAATATGAATATGTATGAATATGCAACTATCTTTCACTTGAAAAAACAATATTTTAGGCGAGGACTAGAAGTCCGTGTCAGGAATCTAATTGAAGTACTATTGGAATAGGTGACACTCTAGTTTCCTACATGGATTTAGCTGTTGACAATATAAAGAGGTCAACAGCATCCTCTTGATATACCGATCAAGGATGTATGTCTCTTATGAATCAGTGTACGTCCCGCCCAATGTGTGTGTGTTAACTTCGCATTAACAGATATTTTTCTTTAATTTCCTATTTATATAATAGAAAAGGCAAACATTGTTTTTCCTAGATATTAACTCTGAACCCAAGGTATCTTCTAGTCGAGTACTCTCGAGGACGGAATTTTTTGTTTTTTTATTTATCTCATACAAAAATTGAACGTAGCGAAGGTCATTTATGTAGTATGTATCTTTTGTTGTTGCTTTAGAGCTATAAGACCAGACAGCGAGGCGCAAATGCCGACGAGTTGCCAATGCTTTGAATAATTATAAGGTCCCCTACCAGAGCCCCTGCTCCCCACAGAACAAGCGGATTGAGTCAGTAAAAATATTGAAAAACACAAAATAAATGATATTTAAGAGCACACTAATTGCTTCAATTAGCATCAGAGCCCAGAAGCAGGTGTGCAAAGCCCCAAACAAGTTGAGCACTGTGTCAGTCAAAAGAAGTTGACTTGTGTTGAATTCTATTGTTCTGAAAGTTCACGATATTTGCGGTCACACCTCTGGGATGTCAATTATAATGTGGCCCGGCCTTGGAGCCGAGCAGCGTATCTACTTACTTAATTATTGTGCCCATGGGAGTGCAGCTTGCATATTGAGAGGCTCTCAGTTACTCACCAGAAAAGGTAAAATATAAACAGCCATTAATAACTTATATTGCTGCAAGATGTGGGCCCAAAAGCCAAGCAGAACACTTCCTCATTGCCTAGAGCCGGCTAATCTTACAAGCCATTAAAAACAAGCACAGTATCCAGTTCGGAGACCTTAGGCCTGACTTAATAGGCTCTGATTCTTATCAGGCCTTATCATTTTTAAGAATAGAATAGCTACGTTCAATATTCTAGAAATACTTAAACCAAAAGTCATCAGTAGAAGTGCATTTTTTAATCGATGACTATGCTAACTTTTGCTTATAAAATGACTATATAACAAATTACTATCAAGCATTACCCGAAATTTTGAGATCTATTAGTTTATTTATTCCACTCCCTTTTTGAAACTTTTTTGACATTTGTAAACTTCGTATTTATGTGTTTGTATCTAGGGAAGAAACTATGTAGATTGTATGTTAAGGTTAACGCTGTGTTCAGGACATACTGAAGTGCGCCCCTCCCAAATTGTACTTTGGTAATGCATATGTTTAGTCTAGATTATAAGGTCAAAAGGCTATTAATGCAATCTCGGCAAGCGAGGTAAAAGCTTGTTATTATTAATAGTTATTGGTTTCATTTTCTTTACATTGTATAGCTATACTCTATTTGCCTGCAATATGTACTAAGTATATTATCTTAATCAATGCCGTTCGGCTGAGACAGTTTCTAGCCGAGACATTGCTGTTGAGTCTTTTTTATTGGGATATTATAATATCCAAGTTTTTTTTTTCGAATGTAAATGCACACAGAATGGTGAGATACGGTTGCTTGAAAGGGCTATAATGAATACCTGCCAGTTAAGGTTGATAATTGTAAACGTTCTTAGCATGTGGTGGGCTTGGTTTTTCTTGCTTAATGGAACTCGTGTTAAGCAATTGTTGACCCAAGTATGATAATTCTATTCGGTACGCCCTACTCGGCAGATGCAAATCAGCCGATGCTCAATTTGCGACCATAAAAAGCAAACATTTAGTCCACGTATATTGCTTTGACATTCACTG